AATAGATTTAGATTGTCCAATTTGTATGGCAGAAAACTGAGTGAAATCCTATCCTCTTTAGATTTACTTATAGTGATACCCAAATATTGAACTTTTTTTTCCCTTTATCTCATCTATTGAGAGGATATTGGAATCATGTACAGTCATTATTTCACACTTTTAGATTTAATTTTAAAGCATTTATAATAATTGGTACTTGAAGTCCATTTTGGAGGAACAAACAGGTATCATAAGCCAGCTGATTAATGTATTTAGTAGTGTCACCTATCTTTATACCCTGTACATTCACACACTGAACAATATACAAATTAAGAAGCTCAGCAGCCATTAAAAATAAAAAGGTGAAATAGAACACCCTTGTCTGATCCCACAGTTAACCTCAAAATGGGGGGAAGTGCCATGTACTAAGGACACACAACTATTATATTTCTAAAGTTGTGTTTAAACCCAAAATGTTTTAAAGCCTCATAAATAAAGGGATGCTCAACCTTATCAAAAGCTTTGTAAAAGTCCAAAAACAAGATTATCTAAAAATATCTAATATATCTAAATATCTAAATCTAAAATATCTAGAACCAGACGAATAGTATTGGAAATGTGCCAGCTCTTCATAAAGCCTGACTGTGTTGGAGAAATAATCTCTTCTAAACACAATTTTAACCTTTTAGCATACAGTGCAACAGGCTGAGCAAGTTTGGCACATTCTTGTAAGACTTCAATTAACATGAGATTAATATCCTACTAAAAGGTTACATAGAATTCATAAGGAAGTCCATCTGGCCCGGGACTTTTTTACTCGTTTTAGAATGGCAGCAGTCACTGGTCTGATTTTGATTCTCTGCGCATGTTTTGCATAAGGGAAACATTAGTTCAGGATATTACGGGAAAAATCTAAAGCTATATACGGAGACGATCTAGCGAATACTGCCGTGCTGGACCGGGGTAGATGATGCAGCTGTGTGGAGAACAGGGTGCAGGAGCCCAGGGAGGAGAGCCACGCCCACCTGCAACCAAACAAACTCAGGTAGAGACAGACAGACAGGCACAAAAGGGCAGGGAAAAACAGTAGAGAACAAAAGGTAAACAGAGGAGAGGAACCACCGGATATAACAATGTTAGAATACAAAACATTAACCATTATGAGTGACACACACCACAATGAAAGATTGAAAATACAGAAGATATCATATAACATAGGCTATCCTACATTATTTATTAGTCCTAGTCTATAGCTTAGATCATATGTCCTGTCTACATCGTAATTTACTAATGTGCTCTCTTCATATGTTTTTGTTTGTAACTTTTAACCAAAGATGTTGTTGGGGTGTCTGTCAGTCCCCATGTTCTCCACCTCCTCCCCTCCTCACCCACTATGGTAGCCTGTAGGTCTCACATACGCTCTCCTGGCATTTAAGGGGAGACACACAAAAATTCCTATAGTTGATAGTATCAATCAAACGGTTTTGTCTTTTAATAGGCCTACTTCATTGTTTATAGACATTGTGTGCACTACAAGGATGACACAGGGTTTTAATGTTTCACGCAAGCACACTGTTTTGAGGTAGGCTATGCTATTAACACAGTTGTTTTCACACATAAACCCATCCAACTAACCCTGCCTTTCTGGCAATGCTGTTGGTTACTTCAATCGCTGTCCTTAAGAGTCAAACAAGATCACAATGTAAGAAAAGAGTATATAAGAAAATCACTCACACATTTGAAACATTTCGTCACTGAGAAAGTTTAATCGTCATTATTATTTACAAGACAAGAAAGTACAGTACCTACCCACATCCTGGTAGGGACCATGCTCTCCACTCTTCACATCTAGGTGTTTACTGCATGTCAGAGTCAGAGACTCACACACACACACACCACATCACCATGAGGAATTCTCTACAATATTTGCTTTTTAAAATCTTGATATTCCTCCCAGCCTCATGATGATGCAGACAGAATATAGTACACTATACCTACCTTAATTGAACGGTATACAGGAGGCTAATAAACGTAGGTAGTGTCATAAAATTCATAAGGGCCTTGATCAGTAATGCGCAACCACCCCCACACCCACGACATCCGCACCCCCGATTTATGCGCATTCACGAGAGTCTACTGCTAGAGTGGTCAGTGCTAGCTGGAGCCAAGACAGAAAAAGTAATTAACATCAACTGGAGAGCAAATACTGTTGGCTGAATGAGACGCACCAGAATTAAAAAATAGCTACAGGAGAATTTTACTTGTCTAATAATGTAAAGTAGGTAGGGCTGCATACTGTGCATGTTTGCACATGTACTGTAAATCCAATGTAACTTATTTGCACGTTCCTAAACTAACTGTAATTTAATAGCCATATTTTACATATCCTTATTATTCTTTTATGTTTTGAAATCTTATGTCAATTTCAGATTTTATATTTATTATTCTTGACCTGCAGTATATTTTTTTAACCTACTATGTTCATTGTTAAGTACCAAAAGACCAAATCAATTCCTTCTATGTGTATACCTATTTGACATGAAAGCTGATTCTGATTCTGTGATGACCAGTGAACAAACCCAAAGTCACAGCTACAGGGTTTCACTCGAAACTTTAAAGTGACAGCTTTTAAATCAGTCGCTCTCCCCCGACCTACTTACTGCGCTTAAACACAGCATGCATCTGTCTTCTTAGACAAAAAGAGGATCCAGGGGGTGCGCGCACCACACTTAGGCAATCGCTGCTGTAGACCAATTGCCTTGAATTTGAATGCTACAGTCCAGCTGCTTAATTGTGGGCAGTATTGATGGCATTGGGTAGGGGTGAGGGTGGCAGACATAGCTGGGGAGATTTTAATGATGATTTTTCAACTGGACTGAAAAACTTTTCTTTGGGTGACAGCACATGTCGGGGTTGAGGGGAATGAGGTGGCAGATAGGGTAGCTATAGGAGGCTCGGGTGAAGTGACTGAAGGGGAAGTTAAAAATGGCGAGGGGCCAAATGTTTTTATATATATCAATCCACCAGTGCCCTTCACGGCGTGAAGCGCATGGCGCATTTGCATTTGGGGCATGTCCAACTCAATTTTGTTAGTTTGACGGCAGAAAAAATGGTCTGTCCACCAGGTGAAAGGTTCAAAAGGGTCCTACTAAGTCTGAATTAGTCACGGGTGTGTAGGGCATAACATGCAATACACCAGTCCGTGTCATTTCATATTCTCTTTTAAAGCCAAGTCCACTTGTACTTTGGCGCATTGCAATTAAGATAGCGTATGAATGGCGCATTATGAAAAACACCAATTGACTGATTGAACTGCAGACTCACAGCAGAGAGGGGATATGGAGAGAAGTGTGGACGTGATATAAAAAACATCTCTGATCATGAAGCCTGTGTTACTCTGCTGCTCTGTAGTTTATCAGTGCAGATTCAGAACTCCAGTCTGTTAACAGACAGAAAGACATTGTCTGCTCTATGAAACATCTGGATCCTCAAATCACAACAAATATTGTGAGGTATTTGCGCAGCAAAACATAATTTAGACACTCTGGAGCTCAGGATTGATCAGGAGGACAGCTGCTTTACCCTTAAACAGTTTCACTGTATGAACATGACTGTGTATGAGACCTTTGGATGTGTAGAAGAACACAGAAAATTACAACATTACAAGTTACGCTGCTGTGCCTCGTGCGTAAATGCGCGCAGTGTTACAGTAATGCGCCCCTAAAATAACAAAAACAGTGAAATACTGTGCCATTGACTTTAGACCTGTTTTTTTGGTCAATGGCCACATGACCACACTTCATTTTAAGACCAACACTCCCATGGGGGCACAGATGGGCGCAAGTGCATTTGCTATTTAAACAACAGGTTATAGCCTTCATTTAGGCTAAATAAAATGATTAGTTTTTATTTTATTTATATTGTTCATTTTCTTATTATTGCAGGTGTGACAATAATATGAAAAGCCTAAATAATAAATTAGCATGATAATGTCACTTAATATCAGTCACAACTGACATATTTAGGCAGAATATGACAACATTTTGTGAGTTTCGTGCTGTGAAGGTCAGTGCATGATACCAATATAGTTCAGTGCTACCTTCCGTGGTTGTATGGGAAACACACTCCTGTCACACTGTGGGCGTGTCTGTTCTGTTTTGTCAGTTGGTTGTTTTCAGTCAGTCATGTTATTAATAGTCTGTTTAGTATCTGTCTTATTGTTTTGGGTCCTGTCCTATGTCCAGTATCAGTTATGTAGTCTGTTGTGTTTTGAGTTTCTCTGAGTTATTGTTTTGTCAGTTCAGTATCTGTTATTTAGTCGGTTTTGGTTCCACGTCTTAGCTCCCAGTCCTGTGCCTTAGTTCATGTCGTAGTATTTGCTTCTAGTCCTTTCTCTGCATCATTTTGGTTTAGTCTGCTCGGTGCTCTGTGTTCTAGTTCTGTGTTCTCGTTTAGGGTTTGTCTGATTACATGGGTTTCAGTTATTGTCTAAGTTAGTTTCTTGTCTGGTATTTTGTTACATATGTTCTGTCTGTGTTGGTTGTTTTGCCCCGTGCCTGCCTGTCAGGTGTTCCGTCTGTTCCCTCCAGTATTCCTCTGCCTGCTAGTCTCTCTGTTTTCCCTGCTGTATTCCTCTGCCTGCTAGTCTCTCTGTTTTCCCTCCAGTATTCCTCTGCCTGCTAGTCTCTCTGTTTTCCCTGCTGTATTCCTCTGCCTGCTAGTCGGTTCTGTGTTTTGAGTTCCTGTTGGATTCTTGTCTTATGTCCTTGGTCTTTTGTACCCTGTATGTCTGTTTATATTTATTCATCTTTCTGTTGGCATTTGTCTGTGGGCTTGTTGGTAGTTCTGTTAGTTTGGGCCTGTTTGGTATCTGTCTGTGTTCCTGTCAGTTCATCACCCTGCCTGTCTGTGTCTGTCTGCTGCTTATTAGTATCACCTGTTTGTGCTCCCGCCCTCCTCGTTAGCCAGTGTTTAAATGTGTGTGACTTCTGTTCAGCTGTTGCTGCTTTGTTGTATGTTCATCCACTGCTGTGTGTCTTGCTTGCCTGCCTCTGCTACCAAGTTTGTTGGATTATCCTTTTGTTTTGTCTCCCCTGGATCATTTGTTATGGACTGTTTTTGCTGCTCTGCGGACAACCTTAGTTTGGACTCTGCTGTAAGTTTAGTACCCAGAAACTGTACCTGCTCTGCCTCTGTGTCCGGCGTTTGGGTCCTAAAACCTGTTCCTGCCAGCACACACGTCAAACTGTGATAACTCCTGCTTGTTTGGTTTTTACAGACTCATCAGGCATGCAGACCAGCAAAAGTTTAAAAGTCCAAACAACAACAACAAGTATTTATTGGGGAGAAACAATTCTAATCAATTCCAAACGGAAAATGTTTTTTTGCAAAACCATAGCCTACATGGCGGTGTAAAACTACTCTTCACAAATAAAAAATAAAAAACCCGAGGGAGACACACGCTCTCTTCAAGGGACCATAAAACAATAGGCCTAACATGAAGGGTTATATATAAACACAGCCTATGAAATAGACGACTTTGCACTAAGTCTATTTCATAGGCTGTGTTTATATATAACCCTTCATGTTAGGCCTATTGGCATATGTTCTATATCTCACAATAATTGCAAGCCATACTTTGGGGCTAAAGGCGGTTTGAAACAAAAGTCGATCTGCTGCAGCATTCATTTTGATGATCACGATTCCTAAAAGTTTTCACTCTATTCAGCCTAGCGTTGCTGTTGGCAAATGAAAATGAATACAGGGTTTGTGCATGTTCAGCCTACTCTGTGCAAGTGGATGTTAGAAATGAATAGTACAAAAATGACTGCATTCTCTATAGAGATCAATTTTTACCCTTTTGGTGCTTATTCATAAATGCTGGGGTTTTTTTGCCCGTTGGTGGTTCTAGACTGAGGCGGGGGCGCAGAAAATGCAACAAAGCCCCCTCCTGCCCCCTCGTGGCACCGGACCCAAGCTATGGGTCTTGTTTGAGCGGGGACAGTGTAGAGGTGCAGGTGCTATTTGGTAGAATGGAGTGCCTCAGCATCATCAGTGAGAGACTGACTCATATATGGCAGCAAGAGTAGGATGCAGACAAGAGGGAGAAAGCTGCACAACCTTCAACCTGCAGTTAGGCTTGCAATAGGCAATAGACTGATCATGTCAGGAGGATAACGTTATGACACGGCTGGATTGCTGTCTCTGTACCTCCCCGTTCATACTAAAGGGGAGCGAAAGAGATGGCAGTTGTGAAAACTGTGGAGTCCTGGGCCCGTATTTATCAAGCTTCTCAGATACTCATAAGAACACTGCAACTAATTTGAGTGAAGTGTAGGACTAAATCTTAAGTGTCAGTCTTAGTGCTGATTCACAACACTTTGCTGTGCCGCAAACAGGATTTTGGATGACGATGTCACCGAGGACCAATCACTGAAGAGATTTCCTTCTTTAAGAATAATAATAATAATAAAAGAATAACAATGAGATAAAATCACATTGAATGGTGAAATTCCTAAGAGGAGTTTATATATATGTTTAACACACATTTAACAATAACTTTTTTCTCTTTTCAAGAGAATACATTCTGATATAGGCCTACAAAAGATAAAAAAGTTGATCTTTATATGAGTGCCATCAACTGCACCTACTACTCCTGTATTGCCGGCTATTTGCATGAACTGTGTCTGCTTCTGTCGGATTACGGGGGTTGTTGTTGGGAAGTCGATGAAACGCGTGACAATGTTTTTTAAACCCACGAACACACTAAGACAGATGGTGGTCCACCCCAAAGACCGCACACCCAAACACAAGAAAAGCAATCTAGTGTATGCGGTCCAATGCAGTGAGGAATGCACAGACCTGTATATTGGGGAGACTAAACAACCACTACACAAACGCATGGCTCAACACAGAAGGGCCAACTCCTCAGGTCAAGACTCTGCAGTCTACTTACATCTGAAGGACAGAGGACACTCGTTTGAGGACCACCAGGTGCACATTTTAGACAGAGAAGATGGATGGTTTGAAAGAGGTGTCAAGGAAGCATCTACACCAGGGTTGAGAAGCCGTCATTGAACAGAGGAGGGGGTCTACGCCACCACTTATCCCCCACTTACAATGCTGTCCTTTCATCACTTCCCAGGAAACTCAACAAACGTAACCTATTGGCCTCAGGTGAAGATACCAACGATGGTCGTTCTTGGCCACAGGTAGTCTTAACGACTGTAACGACTGTCGTCACAGCAACAAGGAACACTAACGAACCAGCGGTATCGATGACCCGGGATAACGACCCCACTGAGGTTAAATAGCTGAGTTTCCCTGCCAGTCAGTCAGAACTGAAGAAGTCCTTTGGATGAGGGACGAAACGTCTTCCAGTATCTTCAACCAAGTCCAGTTGCCCTTGATTTTAACCTTCGTTGGATATTTACGGTTGGGGCGGGACGGGATACACTCCTCATCAGTTACATACACATATTTTTCAGAATTTTCAGAATTTAATTAAATATAAAGAAACACAAGCAAAGGTTAGGAAAATCATACAAAAAGCAAAAAAGCAAAGCTGGCAGGCTTTTTGTGGTAAAATTGGTAGAGCAACACCTGTCGGAGATGTGTGGAACATGATTAAGAATATGCGAGGAATCAGAAGGGAATGGCAGTATCCAGTACTGAAGATGGGGGAGGAAGCAGCGGTGATGATAGCGAAGTTCCGATAACTTGACGGAGGAGGGTAAGAGAGGAAGGTCAATAATAAGATCAGCACATGGTGGATTACTTGAAAGAAGGCTTGATACTAACAGTACAATGGATGCTCCAATTACTATGGAGGAAATGAGGAGGGCAATAGCAAGATCTGGACAAACATCTCCGGGGAAGGATGATATTTGCTATATAATGTTAGAACATTTAGGTCTTTTAGCATCTACTAAGTTGCTAGGTTTTTATAATAAAGTATGGGTATTAGGGAAATTGCCAGCTGGGTGGAAAGAAGCAGTAATTATTCCATCAGGAAACCAGGGAAGGATTCGTCAAGTCCAGTGAACTATAGGCCAATAGCACTTACATCACATATAGGAAAGATAATGGAAAGAATGATTACAGAAAGATTATCATTTTACATGGAAAGCAGAGGAATTTTATCACCTCATCAGAGTGGATTTAGGAGGGGTAGAGGAACTATGGATCCTGTTATGTGTTTAGAAACAAAAATAAGGAAAGCGCAAGTTAATAAAGAATCTGTAATGGCAGTGTTCTTTGACGTAGAGAAGGCATATGATATTGTTTGGAAGGAGGGATTTATGATAAAATAAAAAATGATCGGAATAGCAGCTAGGACATATAATTGGATCAAGGAATTCTTGTTTGAGAGAATTACACAAGTCAGAATTGGGACAGCTGTATCAGGAAGATATATGGTAGAGAATGGTACTCCTCAGGGCAGTGTCATTAGCCCTGTACTCTTTTCCATTATGATTAATGATGTTTTTTCTCAAGTTCAGGGTGATATTGGACAGTCACTGTTTGCTGATGACGGAGCCTTGTGGAAAAGGGGAAAGAACATTAATCATATTTAGGGTAAAATACAAGAGGCAGTTAATGTGGTGGAAAGCTGGTCATTTGCATGGGGATTCAAGTTTGCAATTGGAAAAACTAAGACAGTAGTCTTCACTAAAAAGAGAGGTGTCGATACTCAGTCAAAGATGTATGGGCAAAAGATAGAGCAAGTAAAAGTCTTTAGATTTTTGGGTATGTGGTTTGATGATAAGTTAACATGGAATGAACATATCAGTAAGATAAATACCAAGTGTAAAAAGATACTGAATGTGATGAGATGCTTAACAGGGTCAGAATGGGGAGCAAGTAGGGCTGCTATTAAAAATGTGTATATAGCGCTGATTAGATCAGTATTAGACTATGGGTGTATTGCTAATGGATTGGCAGCAAAAACTTCATTAAAGAAGTTGGAGGTGGTGAGAGCTCAAGCCTTGAGACTCTGTTGTGGGGCTGTAAAAACAACTCCTGTGTCTGCTCTTCAGGTTGAGGTGGGGAAATGCCGCTGAATATTAGATGTGAACAGTTAATGATGCACTACTGGGTAAATCTGCAAGGGCAGCCTGAGGATCAACATCCTACAACAAAGATACTTCTCCCATGTTGGGAGAGTGAAAGGGCCAAACGGGGTTGCTTTGCATGGAAATGTGAGGAAATTGCTGGAGACATGACATTAAGTCAAGGAAGATATATCCCTACTGTGCCATTATCTGTAACACCACCCTGGATGTTTCCTTCAGTGTCAGTTGACTTATATTTTCTGGGAAAAATGCAGGGTCAAAAAGGTTGTGGAAATATTGCAGTATTGGTTGAAGATAGGTTACAAACACTATATCAAACATTTGTCCAGGTATATACAGATGGATCCAAGGTTCCTAATACAGGCAGAACCAGTTTTGTTTTCAGTATTCCTGTCTTACATGTTTCTGTTTAAAAGGACATCAGATCATTTATCCGTATATACAGTTGAGATGTTGGCAATTGTAACAGCATTACAGCGGATAGAAGAATTACAAATTAAGAAAGTTATTCTTTGTACAGACTCATGCTCTGCATTAATGTCACTGCAGTCATTTACATCTCACAGCAGGCAAGACATGGTTAATGAGATTTATGAAACGTTGTTCAGAATTAAAAATATGAACATGCTGATAACATTTATGTGGACCCCAGCTCACAGAGGGATTAAGGGAAATGAAGGTGTGGATGCATTAGCAAAACAGGCTCTGAAACATGAGGAGGAACACCATTAAGGAGAGAACAGCTGGGATAGAGGAAATACAGGGCAACATCTCTACAGCAGGATGTGGGCACAGGAAGGACAGCTAGAAGAAACAATAAAGAGGAGAATATCTTGACAAGGCTGAGGGTAGGGCATACTAGACTTAAGAAAACACTGCACTTAATAAACAAGTACCCTTCAGGATTATGTGAACACTGTCAAATAGAGGAATCAGTAGAACATGTAATTCTTCACTGTCAAAAATTCTCTCGAACGAGAAACATTAAGGAGGGAAATCAGAAAGCCTGGACAGGAAGAATTAAGTCTAAAAAATGTATTTGACATTGAGGTAGGGAAACTCTTCCATTATTTGAAAGAAACTGGATTGATCAATAGAGTTTAGTGAACAGGGAAATAATTCATTCATTCATCTTTTTTGTTTGTTTTTTGTGCTGTGTTTTGTTTTTTTGTTTGTTTATTTATTTAATTTATGTATTTATCAAGGGATAGAAACTCTGGTCCACGCTCCAACATAGTAGGTGGCGGTAATGCACCTTAACGCTGGGTGCCACCCGCCATAAAACGGCGATACTACACCAGTGGGAGGCAGCAAGTCACTAACCAGTACCGAAGCTGCCGGAAAGAATGAGGAAGAAGACTTTATCGGAAGCGCGCGGCGCGTCAGGGCGGATATAGGGACTGTACTATCAATCATTTCACTGGCATGTTTTGAGTCCCTAAGTTACTGTCAGTGGACTAGCTGTAAAATGTCCGCTGTAAACCCACCTGTAAATGACCGATATATTTTTCGTCGCCGTGAATTTGAAGAGCTGCCGTCAGACAACCAGAGAGGATGGCATACTCCTCAAGCTGTCCACGGTGCGAGGCAGACCGCACTACAGCACCAGCGTCACCGGGTAAAGCCCATCTACATTAACAAGCTAGCTGTAACGTTAGCCGTTGTCAGACTTCTTGCTCACCAAGGGCCGTTCCGAAACTAGACCCTCGCCGCTGCCTCTCCGACACGGAGTAAACTCTGGTCGGAGTCACCCTCACAGCCAAATCGAGCCCGTGTAGGGTTTAAATACAGCGACAACTTTCTGACGAACTCCCCTCTCCCCCCAGCGTAAATAGGATCTGACGTTACCGCTGCTCTCACTGCTATATGTGTATCAAATGAACTACAGTGGTATTAAGATTCAGGATTGATGTGTGTGTGTTTTGCAATAATGAAACTGAAAGCATTTGTCATTCATTTTGTGTTTGTGTTCGAGTCAAATATTTCTTTAAGAACACTTTTTATGTATTTACGAAAAATAATTATATTTCATGAAAAGATTGATATTCATTGTAAAGAAAAGCCTTTATATTTGAACCTCTTTAACTTAGCCTATATTACAAATGTTACATTCACAAATACAACATTTCAATATAAATCGTGTGCTACGTTGTTAACCTGTGATTGGTGACGTGTCAGTGTAGTTAACACATGTTAAACGGCGAAGTCACACGGAACGCAAATTGAAAGAAAGGTCCCCCATCGTGCAGCAAAGGGTGTTACACATCCTTCAACAAGCCGGCATCGGTGCTGACTCGGCATCTGAGGGTTTACCAACCCACTACCACTCCGCCCTCACTGGTTATGGATGGCACTCAGTGGGACGGACCCTCCGCCACAACGCGCAAACGGAGTGGAAGCATAGACTGTATATAAAAAGAGTGGAAGTAGGTAGGGAGAAGGAGAAGCAAGCAGATTCGGGAAGCTCTGTGAGGTCCTGTGGTAGTGAAAGAGCTTGTCAGTATCACTTTACTAATGTTTAACTTAACAGCTTTTTTTTAACCCTCATAAATTCATGACCCAAAGTCGAAGATGACTGGAATATTACAAATTAACCTGAGTTCAAGTCGGGATAGAAGGTTAACATATGAGCTCGTAATTCTCTCCATGGTTAATAACAACAGTTAACTGCTGTCTGGTGCAATGCATATAACATAATACAGTAGCTTATACACAAAAGTGAAGTTTGGCTTTTCAGCTTCTCAAGCCATGTGGTATTAGGTGTGTATGCAGCGCACCAACTTTAAATGGGACTCTTTTTCACTGTAGTTTAGTTCCATGTTCTCTTCATAAGAGATAACATCATGTGACTGGGCTAGGCCTTTTCTTGAGGTCAGTAATGATTTTTCAGTTTTACAAAGTGGGAAGGTAGTCTATCTAATTACAATGAATTATGAAATTGAGTTTGATGAGTGAAATTGGAGACTTGACAGTCCTCGTTCCACCTACAGTAGTTGGGCTTGAACTAGGTAGGTAGATTTATTTTGTCACAATATAACAGGTTATTTTGAGTTTGGAGGAACTACTGTTTGGAGACCATTATGCTGGCAGTGTAATCACACTGGGAGTTAAGACCGCAAACATCAAGTATTTGTGCGTATTCATCTATTATTTTACAAGACAATTCCCTGTTTTGGTGGAATTATTGCATAATTTAACCATTTTCCTAGTTATATTAGGATTCAACATTATGTTTAGTTCAAACTGTGGAGACCTTCACATTGTAACTGAAGGCACTAGCTACTACTCCTTTTAACACTAACAATCACAAGGTTTCGAGTCGCCATCCAGACTACTCAGTCCTAGTTTATCGCCAAAGTCCCTTTTTGTGAACTGACCGATCACAGCCTGGAGTAGGCGGGACATTAAAAAGGTTGATGTGCTACAGCAAACTTTAGAAATGTTTAACTCGTTGTTCTGTATGCAGGGTTTTTATTGTTGACAAGTTAGTACTTTGTATAAACAAATGAGAGACTAACCACCATGTAGAGCATATTTTTTGCACCATAATTTAATGACTGAAAACAACCCACAACAACTCGTGTTTTGTCCAACAGGGCTCAACAAAAACTGTGGCTCGATGGACCAGTAAAAATTAACGTCTAGACAGTTGAACTCACAGACCTGATCAGGAAAAAACATTAGTATTTAAAATAAATACATTAGAAACTTAACAATCCAGATTTGTAGTTACGTGACGAGTGGTTGTCAAAGGTTATTTCCCTAATCTCAATCAAACAGCAACCTCTGGGTCTGAAAGTGAAACCATGCAGACGGAACTTAAAAACGGCATTCTATCTAACTGCCAGCAGGGGGCGAGTCCACTTGTTGCAAAAAGAAGTCCAGTTCCGTTAGAAATAATTGTAAAATGTTGCTACTTCTCAGCTGATTTATTACCTCAGTAAACACTTTCATAATAAGTTTATGGTCTCAGTCGCTAGTTTCAAGTCTTCTTCAACACAGCATGATGTTCATTGAATAAATTATGGTCCTATTTAGGGGGAAATAGATGATAATGCAGCATATGCTTTTGGGCGTGACTACCTTGTGATTGACAGGTAGCTACCATGGCGATCTGTCAATCAGTATAGAGGCGACTCCACTGCTCTGTGTACATTTTTTTTTTATTAAATGGCTGTCAGCAGGAGAGAGAGCACATCATGTTTGAGTCTGTTGAGAATGTTTTGTTTTAAAGGGGCATTATGTAGTTTCCAGCAGCCACTAGCGGTGCGGTTTTAAGATTGCTACCAGGCGTGTGCTCGTACGCGTGTCCGAAACACAACTGCTTTCATACAGAAATCCTGCAATAAACGCAGGAACACCAGCATGCAGGCAGGTGAAGTAATTTCCACCGTGGCAATATTTTGGGGCTCAACAGTGCGGTATGCTGTATTATCGCATTTTTCATCAATGAAGTAATTTGGTGCCATATAGCAAAGTAAGAGTGTCTGTATCTGTCACCTCACTGCACAGTGAGCCGCTAACAGCAGCTTTATGGTCTGAGCAAGCTAGCTGCTGCGTGCTAGTCAACAACATTGCCAAGCAAACTCCTTTTTGTAGTTTGACCGTGTCTTTTTCAAACATAGCTATATCATTACCTTTAGGGCACGTCTATTAAGTCAATTTACAACACAAAAACACACGAGCGCCGGTATGGAGCAGAATGGCTGTCCACAACTAACCACTACGCTGTAGGAACGTTAACTAAATTTCCACAGAAAGCAACATGAAAAACAGCTGCAGGCTTCCGACACACTACGCTCCTTAGTTAGTGAGATTCAAAAGAGGCTTACTCTCCAGTTTCTCTGGACTGTCCCTCAGGATCACGTTAGTCCAACATCGCTGAGTGTGCTAGCCACATTAGCCGTGCAATATGCTAACGCCAAGTTAGCTAACCTTTTAAGTAAACAGTTTACAGTATGAACATTGCGGTTGTTGCGAACTCCGCGGTTGGCTTGACCAATAGCGTGGTATTTAAATTTTGTGGTTATTGCGACAGCCCTAGACTTGATTAAATTTCCCTTTTGTATTGTCACTCATAAATTGAACCTATTCAGTGAGTTCTGGTGTTTTTATGTTCTTCTAGTTTTGCAGTATTGTCTGTGACGCCCGGTGGTAAAAGTGTTTTATCACCAACATACAACTGAGGGATGTTTTATCGAATCTGTTTCGTACTGGTGACAATAGAGATTTGTATTAGGATATTTTTACTTACCAGATAGCCCAGCTTTCTTACCGACCTCCTTCTAAGTGATCCCCTTTTCATTCAAGTCTCTGTACATGTATGATTTTTCATAGAACTCCGTGTTACAATCGGCCTCCCTCTATTTTGATTTCTTCTGATACATGTATGTCCGCGTACCTCACTTCGTCCGTTGGTGACGTCTGGACAATCTCACCGCTGATAGGCTTTAGTGTAATTTATACTTCTTTGTCGAATTGACGGCGCAGGGTAGGGGCCGACGCTGTAGCCTGACGTGCATGTCCTCAAAAATGTAACTACACATCGAGGCGACGCGGACCATTAGCTGTGTGATTGGTCGGCTAGGTAGCCTCGCAATGCCTCCGAGCCGTCAGGAAGTGTCCGTGCTTTGAAGTAACTTTTACTAGCTGCCAAAACGGCGGCTGTAACACAGTGTATCAATATATTTGAGCGTCACAACCTGAGCGAAATGACTGATCAGAATGTGATCCATTTGGTCAATAACATTTGAAAAGGCTACACCAGCTGCACATATACAATGTTACCGCCATTCACATTAGTGGAGCGCTAAACTGGAAGTTAGCCTGCTCTGTCGACAAAAGTCAACACAGTGGACGCTGTAGCGCTACTGCCGACTAGCGTTTGGGGGTGTAATTGCAGAATGACGGACACACCTACGCACAAGTATAAATGCATGGCTACGTGCGTAGCTACGCAGGAGTATAAATCAAGCATTTTACAACTCGCTCAAGTTGAAAAATTTGAAGTCAAGTGAACAAGCAAACTCGCAACAAACACATCTTCTACACCGCTCAGAGTGAATTTGCATCTTTGCAAAGGCATTGATTTAGTATGTAATCAAGCTTGCTTGACTTTGTATGTGAACACACCATGATGGTTTTAGTCATTTTTCAAGCAAAAATGCCAAATATTAGTTGGTTCCAGCTTCGGAAACGTGATACTTTTCTTTGCCATGCATGATAGTAAATAGAACATCTTGGGGATATGGACTGTTGGTCGATGGAGCACCTTGGGCTTGAAACATGGTTAATGAAAGACTGTGAACAGTGCAGGGGCAGCTCTGTTCACAGCTGATGAGCATTTTCTTGTGCAGGATGGTCTTCACTGTCACTATGAGTTAATGTGTATGTGTAACAGGTCCTGAACATTGTCTCCACAGGGTGATGCCGACGGGACCCTACCTCGACCTCCAGGTGATCCCAGCACCAGATGGCCCCACGTAGACGACCCCACCACTAGAGAGCCTCAGCTGGACGACTGTGAGCGGATGGGGACTCTCTTTGGGATGCTCAACAAGTGTCTGCGGGGGATGGGCTTCAGCCAGATGTACTTTGGGGAGAAGATAGTGGAACCAGTAGTGATTGCCTTCTTCTGGCTGCTGCTCTGGTTCCTGGGTATCCAGGCTCTGGGACTGGTGGGAACTCTGTGCATCATCATCATCTACATCCAGAAGTAATGAGAGCTCATAATCAGAGTGGAGCCTGCTGTTTTCTGTAATTAATGCTTACATGCAGGACTCTTGGCTTAGCACTTTTCTAGAAATGGTTTGTTCAGCCAGCAAAGGTCCAAAGCTGGGTCCAATCTTCAGGCTTGTCTGGAGCTTTGCCTGCCTCAGTGACAGGATTGGTGCAGTCATGCTGCCTCTGTTATTGTTTGGATCAGAAGCTACAGTCCCAGCAGTGAGGAACCAGAACTGCACATATCTGTGCATATCTGGAGTGTTTTAATTGAGACCTTTGCTAACATACTAATGTGGTGTGCAAATGTAGCATTAATATGACTCTTATAATCAATCATAAGAAACAGTGTCTGAATGTAAAGCTGACCTACTGTACAGAGGGCTGTAATGTGTCTTTTGTCATAGATACTATGGATGCACAATATATTGATGGCTGATAAAAGAGAGAATGGAGTTCTTGTTATTGGTCAAATAATGGTGGTTCAGCTGGTAATGTTGACTTTTTACCGTAGCTGTGCAAACGAACGTTTTCAAATGAAACTTTGTATGTCTGTCATCATATTTTATGACCTAATCACCCTAAAAAAAGTCAGATCATTTTATCAGATTCACACTCACAAGTGTTCCAAACATCGTTCTAAATTAACTTTATAAATTGAGAAAATGTAAAATCCACTCATGCCATAACAAGTGCTCAAACAGTGAAAGACTGGATCTCAACAGTTACTGAAACCTCCACCACATTAGCTGCCCCCAAAGCAAAAGGTGGCGCTTCATGACCAGTCTCTATAATATAATATAAGAATCAAATGCAAACATAAAGTTATAAAAAAAACTAATTCATATTAAACTGACCTTGAGAACCAAAGTATCTGTTCATATTTAGCGTCACATAAAAACAATGAAAGCATGTCTTTTACTGGTTGCAACCGGCTGTGAGAAACAGACTTGGGAGCAAATAAAAACTAAAAGTAAAATAATAATTCAAAGGGCTGAGTAGACTTACTGTCATATTTTAAAGTACAACCAGTACAAGGCTTTAGAGCTTCTCCGGAGCAGTTAGCCGTTCAGGCATCAGTTACCCCGGGCGATGTACAGTAGTTCTGAAACCCCAGGGTTAACCCTGAAGGTACCTCACTAAGTACACATTCTGCTTCCTAGTACAGGCCTCTGTTCAGAATACCGAGAGAATATCAACATCATCATACCAGACTAGATATTGTTGTGGGGTTTTGGCTACAGTGTAAAATACCTTCATTTTCTATTTCCTTAGTCTGCATAACAAGTCTTTGCCTGTCAGAGTTTTAGTTGTGTGCAATGAAACAGATGGCCTCTTTAATCATCATATCTGATTGTTGTCATACTCATAATGAAATGTTAATCTTTAAATAAGAAATACGTCCGTAATCATAAAGACCTACTGTGAATCCAAAGCTGAATGTTCACAGATGAGGTAACCCTGTCTCTTCTGAATCACCCACATCCTCTTTGTGTTAGCCATTTCCATTCACCTCCACTGCAGGAATTAGTGTGACACTAGATGGAGTGGGGTGGATGGATGATCATACCATTTTGGTAAAGGGACATAAGCGTGTGTAACAACTTTGACTTTTTGAACCAAGGCTGCTGTATGGGAGGATCTGAAGGTGAATTTTTATTTGATTTGACCTGTTCTGGCATTCTGAGTCTGGTCCTTTTTTTTATAGTGGAACATATTTTTATTCTTCTGTTGTTATTTTGATGACGGATTATTCAGATGGCAGGTGCCAGGTGAGTATAAAGGTTTTCCAGGGGAAACATCACTGATGGAATTGTACAGTATGTTGTTCACCACTGACTTACAGTAGCCATGCTGCATTTGTCCCTTGTTTTAGACACTGTAATCTGTTATTTTGAATATCAGTTATTGCTTTTATGGAGAGTTTTATGCATAACAACAACAGAAATATTGAATAAAAATGTCTATGATTGAAAGTGAGCTTGAACATGAATCAAGAGCTGAAACAACGATTAGTAATGATTACTATGATTGGAGTGCTGACCACATGATTGTAATTCTAATTTGCTGGCAAGGATCTACAGCAGCACTTACCTCACAAATGTTCTATCTATGAAATCATTAAAGCATATATTTAATTGACTGGTTAATTTCCAACAGTGTTTCATAATGTATAAAGTCAGTAAGGAATCAAGTGCTTTTGTATATTTTAATGTTCAGATGACAAACTGCCATCATTATTTTGATAGGTAAATATCATACTTTATGTGGTATGGGAAAAGATTTAATATACTATTGGATTCACCCCAAAAAGTGTTGGTGATGACTCGGCTAACTGAATCAGATGCAGTTTTACAGGTTTGGGAACTTGTCCCTGTGACAGCTCCAGGTACATTTTAAACCAGTTTTGAAGACTTGCACTTTGTAAGTAAAAGTAGGAATCTTACCCCACAATGTAAGAATACTTTTGTGTTACAAGTGAAAGTCTGGCATGTAAGCAGCATTTAGTATTGTAGCTTTTTTAGGTGGAGCTCATTACAACTACTGTATATAATATCAGGTAACCTATAACAAGGCATCATAAACTGATCATACGTTTTGTAAATTCTTGAACTGCAGAATCTAGTATCTGTCTACAGCTGTCAAATGTTGTAGATTAGTTGGAGTTTTGAATATGCTAATTAGCACAACACAAAGTACAGCTGATGCTGATTGGAATATTTTCCAGGTATTAATTCTTACACCAAAGTATTGGATGAAGCAAATTTCGACCTGTTGATGGTGCTAGATGATCACCAAAGCATTGTTTTACAAAAGCGAATAACGAATTTCATGTGTCAGTCGATCAAATATGTACGACAGGACCATTGATTCATATCAGTCTGTTATGTAATGCTAAATGGCATATGATGATATCTTATTTTTCTAAAGGTTCAGTAAAAGAAGGTCAAGTATTTTAAATTTGTGCATTTTCTGTCACAGTAACAAGAAATGTGTTAATTTTATAGCCTACACAGAAGGATGTTGTGCTAACTGTGTTGAGAGTTATGGAAATTTGTTTAAATTGTTAAAAGGATTGTCATAGTGATCGTAAAAACTGTAAAATAGCAGGGATGGGGACACAGTCTCAGTTCTGAGCGATCAACTGAAATCAGTCCCTCATGCCGTGCTCACAAAGTCTCAAACATACTGACCAACCAGTGCCCATGAACATCAGCTTCAGAGATCAAATGTCATCGGGTTTAGACCTGTTTTGCTGCCAAATTCAATCCCCTCATATCACTTCAATCTACCTATTAATTAATAACTAATAATTAACTGCTTTCTCTACAGGCAAAAGCCAGAAAGACAGAGCTCAGTGTGCCACCACAACAGCTGCAGCAGTGTTGCTTGTGTTGTCTCCACTTCCTGTAGGACATATACACACTCCAAACATATTCACACACTTTGAATTATCATATGGCAAGTTATTTATTTATCATTACACCACCAGCAAACCTGTGTGTTCAACATTTGGCTCATACAATTTCTCTACTACAGAAAGTGCTGAAAACTAGCGGCTTCCCGGAAACAGACTCTGGTGTGGTTGGATTGTGTCTCAGCATGGTGTCCGTGGGGCTGGATTAGATTTGCATGGGGCAGTAAAATGTCTTCTGTCCAGTGACACAGCAAAATCTCATTCAGGAGGTTTGAGTTTATATCGACAGGGCTCACTACTCGGATTCAACAACACTCACAGTGAAAAAACAGGTAGCTACACCAAAGCAACAAAGGCCATCACATAAGCACCAAAATAACAGACAGGTGCTTCCATGTATTTCAGTGTATAATACATACACAGCAGTGACACTACTGACACATTTCCCCTTACCCAACCTCAGTCTGTGGCCTCAGCTGGCTGGGTGAGGCTGAGGTGTACTTTTATTATGTACAGTGAATCTCTTCAACACTACCTGACGTGGTCTGAGCAACATTTATTGTATTTACAAGAAAATGTACAGGAAGCACGTAAATGCAACAAAAAAGTCTCTCACCTCACTTTGAGATGATCTCAAATACATATAACACAGGCAGGTAAAATGGGAATAGTGCATTTAGGATTTGATTCTCCAAAAACAGGATTTAAACTAGCTAAAATGTAGTACAAAAAGAACTGATGAGCTCATTTATCAGACTAAAACAGTGTCTGGCTGCAGCTTTTCAGTGTACATTTGGGTTTTGGATAGTCGATCAAACTAAAGAAGTCATTTAAAGACATCACTTTTGGACTCTCGTGGTAACTGCTTATTGGTATTTGTCATTATTTTTATGGACTATAGGAGACAGCTGAAAGATCAATCTGCTTGGAATAGAAACATTATTCGCAACCATGCCAGCAGAAAATGATTAGTGAGCAGTTCTAAACTTGGACTGTGCAAAGAGTGAAAGTGTAGTTTTCATAAAGCAGTCCAAGTAAAACTGATGGGAAAGCATCGTGTGCATCATTACAGTTATTTAAACAAATCCTAGAGTAGTTACCCCTTACTGTCCAACTTTAACTCTTAATGTACTTGCACACCATAAAGTCGTCACTATATGACCATTAACTGGTTTCATCACATTCAACCCCGCTGGACTCCTCAGTAACACTGCTGCCAGCCGCCTGACGGCTCAGTACCAGAAGCTGAAACATTTGACAAGAGCAGTTTGTAAAATGTTGTGGATGTTGGACTGGTCAGCTCAGTGTCCGTTGCCACCCTCAGACAGGATTCGGCTGGGCTCGGTGAACTTGGCTGTGGCTATGTAGAACAAGGCGGGGCCGGGCACAAGGGCCAACAGCGGCAGGTCCTGCTCCAGCTTGTCTAGTCGGGAGATAGAGATGATGCCGTATGCATGGAGCAGCCAGTGGCTGAACAGGACTACCAGGCGCTTCTTCTTAGCAATCAGGTTCTTAAAAGACTGGTGGTGGGTGGGTGGGGGGGAGAGAGGGGGGGGGAGAGAGAGAGAGAGAGAAGGGGTAGCCAATCAGAAGACTGTAGTCAACCATTCTCAATCAAGGTAGATCGTTTGTAAATTCTTGTTGACTTAATAATAAACTGCCATTTCAGAGTTGGATCTTTTTGTTTGTGTTTCATGAATATGCTATTAGTTTAAAAGTTGGGAGAGACGTGCTTTGTTTTTTTATTATTTTTAAATATATCCATAGTCTATACATCCAATGGCAGTGATGCAAAATCAGTCAATCAAGACAAATAGCACCAAGGAATGCACCATTTTGGAGAACGCTGGTTCAGTCCTAAAACACCTGTGCCTCAATTCAGCTGGGAAAAACCTTTCTTTCTGAATTCCTGAAAACCTGGAATGTGCAACCACAACAATATTATAAATTGATTGATTCAATATGCATTTAAAGGATGGGTCACAGCTCCTTGCTGCCCTGTGGGCTGGACTGGCATTTCATTCTGGGGGAGCACATGATTCCACATCTCTAAATGAAAGTGATTGTGAAATTTAAAGTGAAAAGGTTTTATGATTTGAGGGCAAGAATTTAATGCACTCAAATAGTAGTAAACTGAAAAACAAGAAATAGAAATGATAAGCCTAATTAAATTTTGGTCATATTTCAGTTTTTTTAAGTACTCTACAATTAAATAAACAAAATGATTTAAAACAGATTGTTTTTACATTAATGAATATATTAATTAGTTGTGATTAAACTACTTGTCTTCCGACTTTTACTTACTGAAAATGACAGATGACAAGAATATCTTTTGAATTAAGTGCTGTACCTGTATCTCCGAGGCAGACATGTAGACCGCCAGTGTGACCAGAGAGAGGACCAGTACGATGTAGGGAAAGGCATAGTCTGAAACATACACAGCCGCACAGGTCAACCTACACAATTAAGAAGCATTATCCCCCTGGAATTGACCCTTTCCTAAGCCACGCCTCCTTAGTTACAGTCGCTAAGTCCGACAAACTGTTGGACCTGTCGGACTTTCACGGCGCTGCCGCTGTCTTTTACTGCACTCCCTGGAGAAATATTGTGCTGGAAAAGGTGATCTCAGAAAGAAGCAGACAGTTGTGCAGTTGCATTATACATCTGAAGGTTGTATTCAGGCTGTCAAACTGACGTGTAAAAAATAATGACAGAAGCTGAACCCTACCGAACAAAGAGTAAAAGTGAATTGTTGACTAATGAGAAAGAGGACAACAATATTAAGGATCAACTGTATTCCTGTACAGCTGGGTGGGTCTATTCACTATTACAATCCTTGAAAAGCAAAAACAGTAGGGTTATATAATGTTACGAGTCCTATAATGCGCTGTATTCGGGGCGTGGCTTAGCAAAGGGTCAATTAGATAGCAAATCCCATTCTGCTGCCCGTCATTAATACCCACAGAGGAGTCCTCCCCCCACAGCCTGCAGCACGGTGAGGATGGGGAAGAAGTACAGAGCAGCATAGATGCTCTTGAAGCGATCGGACTTGCCCAGACCACATGCTATCTTCTTCACCAACAGAGGACGCAGTAGCATCATCAGCACCAAGCAGAAGGCGTAGTAAATTAACACAATGGTGTAGCTGAGGAAGACACAAAAAAACAGCACATCAAAATAGGTGGGGGGTGAAGGATAAAATATCAGAAAATAGGGGCATACAGTTAAGGCCATTTATTTATTTGCATCTGGGCTAAAGATATTCAAACTCATTTTTTTTACTCCACATTTTTCACGTTACCATACATTTCATGTCTTAAAGGGGTGTTATGGAGTTTTCAGTTCAGCGGCCACTAATCGTGCGGTTTTAAGATTACAACCAGGTGTGTGCTCGTACGCGTGATCGCTCATGAGTGAGCATAATCCGAAACACAACAGCTTTCATACAGAGATCTCACAATCAACGCGGAAACACGGGCATGCAGGCTGTGGCTTTTCTCCAGAAGTGTTCAGGCTCTGTTACTCCAACGTTCCCGTCTCAGAGGCAGATCGACACCGGCTCCGTACCGTTCACCCAGCGCAGCGAGCCGCATATCTGCACAATACTACCGGAAACAAAGGCAGTGTGATAGCGGCTATAGACAGACAGGGAGACAGCTTCACACAACATGCTGCAAACTCAGCTAAACTCCCACTGTATAGTATACTGTATAATAGTTTTATCAGCTTGAGCTTGAACTAATCCATGCTCGTTACATGATCACGTTACATTTGCAGCATTTAGCCAAAGTGATAAATCAGCCTTGGCTCGCCTGCTGCTTTTCAGTAACTATCTTTACCATCTGTGAATCTGTCACCGGAGGCTCAGCAATGTCAGCACAGCTAAAAGTATTGGATGATAATGAGACTGTAAGTGAGCTGGACTGAATGTTGTAACAAGATTGTGTCACACTTTATAACAGTTAGACCGCAGTCAGCAACTTTACTGTTGTGAATGGGTCTTTCATTGTGTTGTTGTCCTGCACAGTTATTTTGCATTATTATTTTATGAGGGTCACATAAGTTATAGCGACTGAGACGGTGGAGAAGCTCTGTACTGGAGTATCGGTAAAACATCAATGAATCGAAATTGAACATTACGAAGCAAACAGTGGTAGATCCATGCTAAAATAGCTGGCTGCTCCCGCCTTGCATCAAGACTAGTATAAATAAAATTGCTCCACATTTGCTGTCTAGCATTACATCCTTTCTTGCAGGCTTAATATACCCTTAAGACATAATACTGGTGGAACACTGGGTCACTGGTAATGGGGATCGCGTTAACTGGTGAAGTTAATATTATTTACTGCACCAGATAATGTTAGCAACTGCTCATTAAATGTTTATGTCAATTTATTCTCTCTGTGTTTTACAATTTAAACACATTTAGTCATCAGAAGAGTGCGTATTCATGTGGTGGATGAATAAAATTTCAAAGATTCAAAAATTACATATGAATCAATATAAAATGAATTTGATGCATCATGCAATAGAGAAATATTTAAATATGTGCAATTATTTATGGGGACAATTCACAATAAATGTATCATAACAGTTAGTTATTCAAATACTTTAATACTATTTAATAGGGACAATTCACAATGAATGCATAGTTGCAATACATGTATTGTGAATTGTCCTCTATCAAATAGGTTATTACTTGACAGTAGGGTTGGGCTGATAGACCATTTCATCAAAACAGACCAAAATGTCACATAAGACTGCAACCAGGTGTGTGCCCTGTGAAAGCAGGTTTTATTCCCCACTAACATTATTATTATTTTTAATTTTTTTTAAACCTACCTGCTTTGCACCTGCTTCAGACTTCTCTTCCCCCCACACTCAGGCACACTCGCCTCTGGTCGCTCACTCTGCTCTTCCTCTCTGCTGCCCTGACTTTCTCCATCAGCAGTATGTTTTATAAACTCACCCAAAAGACACAGAACTCGTCTTTTTCCCGGAGTTTTCCTGCGATCGGTTATCACGGCAGCAGGTGAGCCACATGCCGGTGTTCTGACGATCTATGCTGCCTTGTCGATGTGTTCCCATTTCCAATCCCATAAAGGTACAACTCTTACAGTATTGTGACGTCTTCTGTTTTTTGATTATATTATAACATCATTTCAGGGGTAGCGTATTCTGATAGACTAATATCCCCTATCAAATAATGCTCCCACTACAGAATCATTTTATATTGCACCACTACTCACTCCATGTGTACTGTACCGCTAAGTAGCACATCTCGATAGGTAGCATAAATCGACAATCAATCAAACAACCGAAACCAACATCTGCGTTCTAGTTTCTACTGTTGCTTTACCGGGTCCGTGCTTGTAAAATATCCACCGTGTACGCGCCTTGTAACATTATATGTGAGTGAAGTCTATGTGAGTGAACACACAAGAGAGGACAGAGGCAGCCTGGAAACACCTAAACACAGCAGCATAGTTTTTCTGTTTGTTTGGCTAGGGAACACTAGGGAAACTCCTGAGTTTTGTAAACTGCCTCAATATTTTGGCAGATTCCATAATATTCTGTGTTTTACTGTTAATAGCATTTTATTTTCGCGATTCCATACGGTGATTTCTGCAGCTTCCAGGGGGGTGCAGGTAGGTGCTTAAACAATGGTAGGGGAAATGCTGAAACTCTAAACATGTATATTTATAAAAAACACAGACTGGAATTTTCCACCTTACACTCAGACATTAGCAAGACAGAAATGGGAAACTGATGTTCAGTGATGAAGCAGGCCAAGGCGCAATGTCCACAAACAAAATAACACTAGTTAAATAGGCCTATAGTGAAGTGATATAAACTGTGATGGTGTCAATTAAATAAATCATATTTCTGACATCCAAATGCTGAGTGACTTTTAGAAAAAAATGAGGAGCTCAGACAACAGTACGGATTAAACTATCTGCTCCAAATGTTTTCACTTACACGCTGTGCGAGCACGGCAGCACTCAATGCTCGGCTCGCTTCCTCTCCTCGTTCTATGCAGAACATACATGACAGATGGTGTTATAAGAGCAGCGTAACTCTGAATCAGTGTTTGATTGTCCGAGCAGCAGAAAGTGACGGTGAACGCGAGCGGAGGAAAATATTCTGGCAGTAAATATACGGTGTCTGTTACAGTGCCAGCTTCTCAAGACCAAGAAAAGTCTGTTGTTTCCCACCTGCTGGAAAAGTGAAGCCGGTTAGCGCTAAGTTAGCTAACATCTCCCCTTCAGACTGCGCAGCTGAGCAGGAAAACTTCTACAGCAGCTACAGAGCTGCTATGTAACTTAACATTAGCTCAATTTATAGAAAGTAACTGGTAGCTGTATTTTATTACTGCCTACTTGTCCAATGTTCAGAACATCAGGTACAAACTGAGACTAAACTGACTCTGTCCTGTACAGACTGACTAAATTATTTTTCAGTTTTCAGTCTGAAAAAGGGGTTTTGGAAAAGAAAGGACGGAGGTGACCGGAGGAGCCGAGGTTAGCAAAGCTAATAATTGATGCAAACTAGTCCTTTTAAGCTGATGAGGAGACGTTTCTTTTTGGATTTTAATGTGCAAATAAAATGCACCTCAGAAGGGAGGTGGTTTCTCATGTTGCCTGTTTTTTATATTAATGTCTACAGATAAATGTCAGAAGCTGTAAAATGAAGACACAAAAGGCAAACATGAACAGTCGTATCGATAATGATTCTGGAGGTCATATTAACAGGGCTTTAGGGGGTGATGCCCAAAACATGCTGTGCCATCACTGTAAAATCACTGTGGATCAACAGAACCAACCAAATTACTCTCCAGATCTAAAGGTTGTAGTTCCTCCAGTAGGCTGATCTTTGGCTGTTGTTTGTTTATTATCTGCTCTGGCTTTTCCAACTATTTGCTCAGAGATATGATGAAAATAATGGCCCAATATGATGTGAAATTACATATTTTTCATTGGAAAACATAAAACTTTCTTGGGGGAGGACCCCTAACCCCCTACCAACACCAAAACATTCATCTAAAGCCCACAGTAAACTGGGATAACACTGCAGTTTTAAGCTACTCTAAGGTGCATCACATGTTCACAGAGACAAGAGCAATGTTGCTGAGACATGTTGTGTTGGGGTTTTATATTCAGACAAAACCTGCCCCCGCTGCTGAAAAAAAATCCTAGAGGAAACACTGCAGTAAATCAGTCTTCCTCCTCCTCTTCCCTCTGCTGCTGTGATTCACTGCCTGCAGGTAACTTTCCGTGGTAGAGAGGAGGCAGCTTTATCTCAGCCAGCAGCTCCCACATTTTAAGGTATGTATGTGGCACATTGAGCTCAACAGTTACTAACTACAGACAGACGGGTCGAAATATCTCTTCTCTACTGTCTCACTTCAGGTGCACCGTCTTCACTATCTGCTGTGTGTGTGTGTTTGTGTGAGCTGAGCCCTGCACTTTGTAGCAGATGTCAGTTTTATCTGTGCTCTTATGCAACTGTCTGCTAATTAAGTCTGAATTCATTATGGATGTTGTAGGCAATGTTAAGCACTCCTTGACAGTTTACAGTAAATGAACAGATTTTAATTATAATTCAGAAATCAAACCTAAGCACAGTTGTTATTGTAGTGACTTTAAGTAAAAGAAATATACCAAAAAGCCACTGATGGGCTCAGGTTCTTGGCCTAAAAACAAAGAAAGAAACAAACTCTGGCCAGGTTGTCAGTACTTACAGTGGGTAGACGGCCTCCTGGGTGCAATGTAATGTGTTGATGTAGTCTGGACTGGGGTTGTACAGCATGGTGTACCAGTCTGACAGCATCTGGACTCGACAGGATCGGATGCTGAGCATTCCCACCGGCTCTGTGACCAGCAAGGTGATAACAGCTGACACACTGCACTCCACCATGGCTGTGATGTGCTGCAGCAGAGCACTGGAACTGAACACACAACCACAGACAGAACAACACAAGATCACACAACAGAAACACACTGCATCACAGTCCCAGTGTCCCAGTCACTTGTTGAGGCCACTTCTGTCTATTATTTACCTCCTCCCTCTGTGCAACATCTTCCAGCATTATGATATTGGTTTTCACTATTATGGCGACATTAATTAACGAGATTGCGGCGGCCTGCAGCAGTCTCGTTAATTAATGTCTAATTTGTTCCGTCATAGTTTCAAAATGAACCGAAAATATTTTTACACATCTCATAATAACATTTCAGACCTCTAACGTTGTGTTTTGTGGGAGCTGCTCCATGCTGCTGTAAGCTTGCACGCTTACACACTTTTGCATCCGACTCGATTCTGATTCCACTTCGACTGTTTCTGTCACTCGTTTGTGAGAAGGCGATTAAGCTAGCCGCACCTAAATTTGGAGTGCACACGTATTAAAGCCTTTATGGTAAATCCACTGAAACGGCCCAGAGCGAGCTGACAGGCAGGTTAGAGACTTCATCCTGTCAGTTTCTCTCTTTAAAAAGACAAGTGTTGCAGTATGAGAGTCCTACCTGAAGAGAGGCTGGGAAGTCTTCATGTTACGCGATACGAGAACCACATACAACATTATTTATCAAACTAGGTTGGACTGGATGAATTTAGCGTGAGGATACACATGTCACATGACACATACACATGACTTTCAAAATAAGGTGTCTATAGAGTATGGAAATAAGATTAATTGAATTATATTCACAGAAAGTATAAAACATGTTACATGTGTCCATTAAAAGTAAAAAAAAAACAACAATAACTATAAAATGTTATGGAAATTGCTTTTTCTAAATTTATTCTATTCTAAATGACTTATTCCATTTTCTATTCTTTGATTTAGGGTTGCTGGAAAAACAAACTTGTTGCTGTTTCATCACCATTTATAGCTCTACAATGGCTTTATGATCAAATAGTTTACTACAGCACAACATTGTTTAAAAGAGAGCAAAGTTCTTCATAGGTAGCCTCTTAATTTTGCACCAAATTAATGCCTTTAACTTTAACTAAAATATACAAAATATTCTTCTGGGGGGGGCCTGCCCCCTGACCCCCCAAGAAGGTCTGAAGCCCACCCACCATAGTCTCTAAAAATGGTTCAGTGTTGGCCAAGTTACTCAGAAACTGTAATATATTACTAGTTACTTATTACTCCTTAAAAAAGTAATATTATTACTTATTATAATATTAATATATTTACTATATTATATTTAATATAATATTATTACTTATTACTGGGAGATAAAAGTAACTAGTTACGTTACTCGTTACGTTACTATTTTAGAAATTAGTAATTAGTTACACTACTAGTTACTGGGAAAAGTAATATTATTACAGGCCTTTTCAGACGGGGAGCAACCCTCCGCCTGCCTACTTTTTGGATCCGCAGTACAGTCTACGAATATGGTCTCACTGCGCTCCTCATGTGAACAAACAGGCAGACAAGCTCTCTGTGACTAGTAACCATGGCAACGGGTTCTGTGTGCTACTGAATCTCTGATGGTACAAATGTATTTTCACCACAGGTTATAGAAAACATTAAAATGTATCTAGTAGAAATTATTGACAGATAGATGTATTTATTTTTGTGAGGTTGGCTCTCTGAGTGAACATGGTAAACAATGGGTTTTTTTGGCTATAGTACTGCTTTTTGGACTTTTTCATTATAGGACTACTTAAGCCCCTTTTCCACTGCACGGTACCAGCTCGCCTCGCCTCAACTCTACTTGTCTTTTTTTGGTTTTCCGCTATGGAAAAGTTGTACCTGTACCTGCTACCACATACTTTTTTTCATATCAAGCGAGCTGAGGCGGTAATAAAATGTGATGTGAAAACACAGCAGACTGCTGATTGGTCAGAGAGAATATTCACTATTCACTGCATCATCATTGCGTGCGCCTGACAGAGGCCAGCAACAGGAAGTTTTATATTTTACAATTTTCATACGTCATTTCATCACTAAATCCACTTCTGAGAAGTTTTGAGGTGAGAAATCAGCTGTGTAGATTTTAAATAATGACAGTTTTACTGGCGGAACAAAAATCTGCTTGAAAGTTGAGGAGCTCCGCAAGTGGCGGCGGGGGAAGCCTGCGCCAACCCGCGGGAGGAGCATGTGAGGCCGGCCAGCCGCCCGCTCACACAGACCGCTGCAGCAACAGCAGCAGAGGAAAACACAGCTGGAAGGTTTTCATACCGCTTATCTGTCTTTACATTCTGAGGAAGGTTGAAACGTTTTAACTTAAATAAAGAGACAGCTGTTTGTTGGTCGCTGGCGTGTGTCACATTGAACATTTCGTTGCAGCAGTTATCTCTGGGTACTATCTCCAATGGAAACCAGAGCACGGCCAAGAGTCGAGTCGAGCTGGTACTGGTAATGGAAAAACGTGAGGTGGAGGTTCTTATTAAATAAGAACCTCCCTTTCTTGTTCTGTGAATAGGAGAAGTAAACTTTGCCTACCCAGTCCCTTTTGAGTTTCAGATGTTGTGTATCAGATAGCCTTGTTCCTGAGTTTCCAGAAGTAGTGCTATCTTCCTCTTACTTACATGTGGGTCAAGCCTACCATGGAGGATGGCAAGCACCGCAACAACGGCAATGTTCATACTGTAAACTTCAGGGAGTGTTAAATTAATAAATGAGTGCTTCAAAAGATCCACAACCGTAGCGAGCTCTGTAACGGTTCAAGGATGGATCACCATGGGCTGTAAGTGACCCGACTTCAAACTCTGAAGCTGCAAGTGTTGCTCTGTTTTGTGTCATTTTACTGTTTATTTTAAAGGTTACTAATGTAGCTAGCACACTCGGCGATGTTGGACTAACGTGATCCTGAGGGACAGTCCAGAGAAACTGTGGACAGTGAGCCTCATTTGAATCTCACCAACTTAAGTGCAATTTATACTTATGCATCGAATCAAGGTGCACGTCAGGCGACGGCGTAGCCTCTGCGTAGCCCCGTAGCCTACACCGTCGCCTGACGTGCACCTCCTCCATAATGTAACTACACGTCGAGTCGACCATAAGCTCTGTGACTGGTAGGCTGGGTAGCCTCGAGCCGACCGGAAGCACCCCGCGCTTTGAAGTAACATTTACTAGCGGCCAAAACGGCGGCTCTAACACAGTGAATCAATATATTTGACCGTCGCAACCCGAGTGAAATGACTCATTTCACTATCAGAATGTGATCCATTCGGTCGGTAACATTTGAAAAGGCTGCACGTGTACAATTTTACCCCCATTTACGTTAGCAGAGCGCTAAACCGCAAGTTAGCCTGCTCGGCCGACAAAAGTCAACACAGTGGACGCTGTAGCGCTACTGCCAACTAGCATTTGGGGGTGTAATTGCAGAATGACGGACACACCTATGCACAAGTATAAATGCATGGCAACGTGCGGAGCCTACGGCGGAGTATGTAAATGGGCCTTAAGGAACGTAGTGTGTCGGAAGCCTGCAGGTGTTTTTCATGTTGCTTTCTGTGTAAAGTTGTGGACACCGGCGTGCGTGCATGTGCGTTGCTGCAGTATGTAAATTGAATTGATAGACGTGCCCTATATAGTTACCTCTGAAAAAGACACGGTCAAACTACAAAAAGGAGTTTGCTTGGCAATGTTGTTGACTAGCACTCAGCAGCTAGCTTGCTCAGACCATAAAGCTGCTGTTAGCGGCTCACTGTGCAGTGAGGTTACAGATACAGACACTCTTACTCTGCTATATGGCACCAAAAATGGGTTTAGAGAAGTTGATCGAATTAATTCTCTAGGAGTTTGTTAAAGTATGCATCTTGTAAATGTGATAAAATGGGTTAAAATTGCACTCTCAATTCAAAATGGCAGACTTCCTGTTGGTGAGTTTTCGAGTATGTGCAGGCCCCCAAAGTTGAGGTTACTTTGCTCAAGAAAGAAAGAAAGAAAGACTTTATATTGTCAGTAGTGCGTTTTATACACATAGTAAACATTTTGCTCGAAACAACAAAACCTGTTGTAGTGCAAATTTTTTATTTGCACGCATCCCCATAAAGCTTGATGTGATTATAAAGTCTTGTTTTATCTCAGTCCCTCTAACATTAGGTGAAAGTAGAGTCACAGACAAAACGATTGTTCAAAATGTCACTTTAGACAATTATTATATATTATCTATAATATATATTATTATATTTTATTTGTCACTACTTTGGTGTCCCCAAGACTTTGGTGAACCCATTTCAAGCACCAAAAGAATTCATCCACATGAGTAATGGTATGTTTCCATAAGAGATTTGAAGAATTTCAAAAATCGGACTTACACTAATCAACTTTAGAGCCACATTATCTCTCTCCCTCTTTTTACACAATGCTCTAGGACAAGTGGTGGGCTCATTATAAAGAGATCTGGGTTTCTTCTGCACATTTTGATATAAAACACATGGTACCATGTTATGCAACTGCCATTAATAGGTGAATTTCAGAAGATAGTAAAATCAAAAATAAAAAATGCCCTTAGACCTCAGAGGGTTAAAACTCATTTTCCGCAGTATCTGTACTGAAAATGCACTCCCTCACAATCTCTTCTCCCAACAGTGAGTGGACACACTGCAGTGCCCACATAGCCCCACCTCCTCTCACTCAGTGCCGTCTTCTCATCTCATTCGCTCCGCCCATTCGCCCTACTGTGCTGCGGATGGCAAGTACTCATCACTTGTGATTGCTGGCAGAGGATACAAGCAAGCCCCTACGCAAGCAATAGTACAGAGCAGTTCTAACAAAAGGTGGTAAAAAAAAACAGCTGAAAAAAGCACCTGCATGACGGACACTCCAGGCTCTATAGAGAACCTGGAGAGGTTGGAGAGATCTCCTCTTTCAGCATCACTAAAGTATTAAACAAGATGGCCCATTAAACTGTTAATAAGACAGTTGTTCTGTTGTTTGCCTAAGAGACATTTGTCATTCTCTAAACTAAGCTAATCCCCCTCAGAACTGTCAGACCTGAGGAATCTCAGACAGCAGAGTTTCAGTAGATAGGAAAATACTTTAAGTCAAAAGTAAATGAAGTGATGCTGTTGTGCTTGACACCAGTCAAGGGTGTGTCAACGTCATCTCTGGACCAAGCTGATAAAAGTTTGAAGAGAACATTTTCATACGCCACAAAATGTCCCAATTATAAGCTAACAAATGTTTGTGAAAAACGCTAAAACAGGATGTGATGTTATATCTTAGGTTTGCAATGGCCGATCTACTCCAAACTTGGGGATCTTATCTGGCGCGCCCTCCAGAGGGGCTGTGTGAAATTTGGTGTCAATCGGCCTCTCAGTGGCACTATTAATCGTTTATCAAGAGGTGTGGAGGTAATGTCAATAATAATAGCTATAAATATGTCACTCTCCCTCTCGTTTTGGTAATTATCTTTTTTCCCCTCTTCTATCCCTATCTTTTCCATCTGTAATATTACCACTTTATTGCACAATTAAAATAAAAAGATTGTATTACTTATTTAACTAACTAACTGGTATTCTTGATAAATGAAACAGAGGTGTGGACTCGAGTCACAAAAAAGAAGACTTGCGACTCAACTTTGACTTGAACAGCAATGACTCGTGGCTTCACCTGGACTTGAGCCTTTTGACTCGAGCTGACTTGACACTCCCCATGCCCGAATATAAATGATGATATGAAAAACTGCGCAGCACATCGACATTGCGCTGTGCTCAATTAGACTGGAGCGTGTGGCTTCCTCCAGCAAGAGGGAACAATCACAGACAGTCCGAAGCGCGCCTGGCCGTTCCACGATCTCCTGTTCCTGGCCCTGTACGCCCCAGCGACCCACTCCCTCTCTGGTACCTACAATAGGTTGTGCAGTAGCCTACTACCAGCACGCTGTGAACCGTTCATGATCGCTCGCTCTGGCTGGAGGAATTTAACACATGGGCATGCACAACAGCTGGGGCCCTGACGCCACGCAATTTTCTAAATTCCTCCACCTCACGGAGAAAAGAAAGGTCAGGTCGAAACAGTGTAGAGAGACTGCTGCAGCTGTTGCATGCAGCTGCTTCCACCAATTATAAAACAAGTTAATTAAGATAAAACGATAATAGCGCCGGGTGCTGTTTCACTACGACACTCGTTTTGTTTTATAAATCCAGCGCACCCCTTTCCTTCACAGCTGAGGCTCTCGTCCCTCCCTAAGAGATGTGTTCAGTGTTGCTTTACCTGATCGGTTCTTGTAAAATATCCACTGTCTGCATCTTCTAACATCATAGTGATTTATAGTTTTCTCACCGCTGGTTTCTGTCATTGCATCTCCCGACAAAACACCACGGTTTTATTTCAGCGTTCTGTAACGTAACTTTGTCAACTGGAGTAGTTCACCTGTCACCTGCGTTTTTTAACTTGAAAAAAACTTTGAAATGGTTTTTAAATTTGGTGAAGAGCGCATTATGACTTGTTTAGGACTTGAAACTCAAAGTTTAAGACTTGGACTTGTTGGTCCTTGACTTGAGACTTGCCAGACTCGGACTTGCCACTCATGATCGGTCTGGACTTGGGACTCGACTTGGGACTTGAGTGCTAAGACTTAAGACTTGACTCGGACTTGTAAAACGATGACTTGGTCCCACCTCTGGTATGAAGAACTCTGATGTGCTCAGATAATATTAAATAACTCCAGCGTAGGTATTACTGTGAAGTAAACTGATTAATAACGACACTGCTCTTGCTTCTGAAGGAACAAAGCCTTGGGATGTCCTGCTCCACAAAAAATCCTGTGAATGCAGAAAGAGAGAGTGAGAGAGAGTGTGTGTGTAGCCTAACCTCTTTTTTCCAGAGTACCACTCGATGAAGAACCAGTGGAGCACTAGTGGCAACATGGCCATGAAACCCAGATAGAGCCAGTCATAGAGCTCAGGAAACTCAGTGCAGCGTTCACACACCTTCTGCATGTTGGCCCGCTCTCCACGAGGACAAACCTAGCAGACAAAGATGGCTGTGATTAGAAGGTAAGATATACTTTTTGTCACATACACACAGCGAAATTCATTCTCTGCATTTAACCCATCCCTCAAGGGAGCAATGGGCAGCCACTGTGCAGCGCCGAGGGGCCAACTCCAGATCTGAGCCAGTGTCACTGGTCAATAGCACTGACTGGAGAACAGGTTTTTGATGGTGGGGGACCGGGGTTTGAACCCATGACCTTCTTGCTGTGAGGCCACAATGCTAGAGGTAGCCCACAAAATGCCAGAGGTAGCCCACAAAACCTACTGCAAGACCACACTTAAATTTTTCCACTTTGCCCTCATTCCCTTCATATCCCTCCGTAACCTAAACCAGAATTTACCCTATACCATTACAGTACATGTCACTGCAAGAACTTCGATTAGAAATGCAGAAGAATTTAATTTTCTATACCTTCTTTAAATTTGCATTCACAGGTGTCATTTTTTGCAACGGCACAGTGCATGTGCAGTATGTATTTTTGGGGACCAGTGGGTATCCACATCAGTTTCTGAGAAAATCTCACCTGCTTTCAGGAAGTAGTTAGGTTCGGATCAGACACAACGCATTTTTTGCAGTGAGAGGTGCCTTTTTAGGGCCCGAGCATGAACCGTGCGAGGTCCCTATTGAAACTGTAGGAATTATATTTAGGGCCCAAGAATGAACCGTGCGAGGTCCCTATTGAAACTGAAGGGATTATTTTTCACCTACATGTATGAAATTTCTGTGGCACATGTATCATGTCCAGATGTAGCAAAAATCCTGATGGAGCGATGCCCTTAACTCAACAGGAAGTCAGAAATTTAGAATTTTATGTTCATTTCTGGATGATTTACACACTTGAACTCCTCCTAGGGATTATGTCCGACCGATTTCAGATTTTCCCTGTCTACAAGCCATTGACGATTAAAAGTTTTACAAATGGCAAGTTTTCGTGAACGGCATGCTCGTGTCGTGGCATCCAAAATCGATTATTTGCCATGAAAGAGGAAAATGTTGCAACTTCAGTGTACATGCTCTACATACATAACATATCTACATGTTCAGTTATAGTTGTAGTGCGAAGTGCTATGTAGCGCCACAAAGGAGACACAGGAAATGGTGATTAACACCTTTGTGCAGCGTCCGAAGCGTGTGGCAAATTCACAGCCACACCGGCTGTGGCTCAGGAGGTAGAGCGGGTTGGCCGTTAATCGGAAGGTCGGCAGTTCAATCCCTGGCTCCCCCTGGTTGCGTGTCGAAGTGTCCTTGGGCAAGATACTGAACCCCGATTTGTCCCTGGCGGCTATTCCGCCAGTGTATGAATGTGTGGGACTGGTGAATGCAGATGTAGTGTAAAAGCGCTTTGAGTGGTCGAAAAGACTAGAAAGGTGCTATACAAGTACGGAGCATTTACATTTACCGGCAGAGCTCCAGAAGGAGCGCTCTGAGTGGAGTTGAAAAAAAATCAAATCTGAGCAGAAAAGCGCCCAACGTCATTTGCATCTTCTTTCCATTGTCCAATCAAATGAATGGGGAAACTGGCCCACAGTTGTGATGGGAGTTTAAAGCTACTTGGATTGTCCGGAGACTGCAACAAACTGTCCCAGAGTCATCCTAAAATAAGTCTTGAACCAACCATCAGGAAAATGAAGCTACTGGACCAGCTGGCGGTACTACCAGAGGAATCTCTCCTTTCTGAGGGTCTCATGTACCCACACGGATCTCCCTTTCCCCGTCTCCACTGTTTGTCTATTTTATTAAAGCAGATGTTTTTAGCAACAAAAGACTCAGACCTGTGAGTTGTAATCAAGTTTCTGCTAATATGACCGTTATTACTTAGCGGCAAACCAAAGATTACAGATCGCTGGCGCTATAATCTTTGATTAGACTGACAGGACTGCTGATTCGGTAGTTGCCTAGCAACATGAGAAAACGCAGCGCACTGCTCTTTTCCAAATTTAACCAAAAAAGGCATTGCTGTTTTATTACTGACGTCGTAGAGGGAGGTGGTGTTGTACTGAACTGCATTATGCTGAAAGGTGTTTCTTATATTTTGTCAACTGCTCTTACATACATGAACACCTTTCAGTATACACTCACCAGCCACTTTATTAGGTACACCTGTTCAGTTGCTTGTTAACACAAATAGCTAATAGGTCAATCACATGGCAGAAACTCAATGCATTTAGGCATGTAGACATGGTCAAGACAACTTGCCGAAGTTCAAAATGAGCATCAGAATGGGGAAGAAAGGGGATTTAAGTGACTTTGAACGTGGCATGGTTGTTGTTGGTATTTCAGAAACTGCTGATCTACTGGGATTTTCACACACAGCCATCTCGAAGGTTTACAGAGAATGGTCCAAAAGAGGAAATATCCAGTGAGCAGCAGTTGTGTGGACGAAAATGCCTTGTTGATATCAGAGGTCAGAGGGGAATGGACAGAATGGTTCAAGACTCTAATCATCATTCGTTACAACCAAGGTAGAGATGCACCGAAATGAAAATTCTTGGCCGAAGTCGAAATCGCATATAATGAAAAAATTTGCTGAATACCGAACAAGTACATTCACATTTTTGCCTTTTTTTACCGTTAAATTAAACAGTCAAAATGGGCCCGAGAGGGTCTGGTAAAGTAAATTACATGTGTCCATTTACTTTTAATGGACACATGTAACATGTTTCATACTTTCTGTGAACATATCCAATTAATCCTATTTCCATACTTTATAGACACCTTATTTTGAAAACCAGACGTTGTCACGTGTGTATCCTCACGTTAAATTCATCAAGTCCGACCCAATATAATAAATGTTGTATGTGGTTCTCGTATCGCGTAACATGAGGGAGCCTCTCTTCAGGTAGGACTCTCATACTGCAACACTTGTCTTTGTAAAGAGACAAACTGACAGGATAAAGTCTCTAACCTGCCTGTCAGCTCGCTCTGGGCCGCTTCAGGTACCATAAATGCTTCAATACGTGTGCACTCCAAATGTAGGTGCGTCTAGCTTAATCATCTTCTCAGAAACGAGTGACAGAAACACTCAAAGCGGGTCAGACCATTTGTTGCCTTTTCTAAGAAGTCAGCCACAGATGGAGTGGATGCGCTTGGGGACAATTCAGCAGAACAGTGTCTACAAACAGCGATTTTTGCATCTTTCTCTGACTCTTTAAAATGTTTCCACACTGCCGACATGTCAATGTAATTGTTTGGTAAAATTTAAGCGGTCTTTTAACGTATTAGACCGAAAACTGAAAGCCGATTCATTTCGGTGGCCGAACATTCTATGCATCCCTAAGCCAAGGTATGCAGAATTCCATCTCTGAGCGCACAACATGTCGAAACTTGAAGCAGATGGGTTACAGCAGCAGAAGAACACACCAGGGGCCACTCCTGTCAGCTAAGAACAGGAAGCTGAGGCTACAATTCACACAGGCTCACCAAAACTGGACAATAGAAAATTGGAAAAACGTTGCCTGGTCTGATGACAGGGCTCCAGACTAACTTTTTTGACCTCCGTCCCAGAACCGTCCTGAAAAACTATTTGAACCGTCCTGAAGTTAACGTACAGCATCCCAAAATCAAAATGTTGTTTCTTTACTTTATTATCCTCTATAGTTGTTAGTGACATAATAAATGATTTTAAATTGATAAAATAAACTATATTTATTTTGCTTAATTCAAACAAAAAGATCTAGAAACAAAACTGAAAAGTTATCTGTTGGGGCACCTTTTTACCTCGATGATAAATTATTTAATTTCAATTCTGTTATAAACTCCTGGACTTAGTTTCAGCAGCTTTTCTGCTCATGTTGCACATTCAGAATGTCACATATCCGTGTTCTCTGACATGTCCAGAAGAAAATCGTAATATTATGAGACTAACATCATTATATAATGAGAATTCATAATCTTTATTAAAAGTCTACCTGACCTATACTCTGCCGCTATCTTCAGACTGTACTGAATGAGACCAGTGCGCTGCACTTCATCACAGGTAGAAACTGAAACCATCACTGCCAATCAGGCAGACATCTCAGCGCAAATCCTCATGTTAACTTCTGCAGCTCACAGTCCCAAACAGGGCCGGATTGTGCTTCAGGTTTTAGATGTTTATAATGCAGAACTCTACCAGCGAGTCTGCTGGCAGCGTCTCAGGGCGCGCGGGTTACTTTACGATCACGCCGTATGCCGAGTTTCATCAACCGGGTGGAGATGATTGTCGCCGCTAGTCGACGTTATGAGAATATTGATTTGTTTTTCACTGCGTGACAAGATTGATGTGTGGCGCTTAACGCTAGCCTACACAGCGCGATTGAGAGCTCAGCAAGCCGTTTGTGACTGAGAGGACAGATGGACCTGTACCGCGGGAACAGGTGAGCGGCCGGCTTCCTGTGTGAGTCCGGCGTGACTAGTAACAGTGTGAGAAGACGGCCTCCGTTGTAGTCAGCGCTCGGTCAGTTCAGTTTGTCATTTCCTAAGCGTAATAAATAAACACATAGGTCTACACAATCCCTTTCGTCCTAGAGGCGTCCTACAGAATATTTCTCTTCGTCCCAAACACATTTTCTATCGTCCCCAGGACGACAGGACGCCGTTAGTCTCCAGCCCTGTCTGATGAGTCTCGATTTCAGCTGTCAGATGGTAGGGTCAGAATTTGGTATTAACAACATGAAAGCACGGATCCATCCTGCCTTGTATCAACGGTTCAGGCTGGTGGTGGTGGTGTAATGGTGCGGGGGATGTTTTCTTGGCACACTTTGAGCCCCTTAGTACCAACTGAGCATTGTTTAAACGTGACAGCCTCCCTGAGTATTGTTCCTGACCACATCCATCCCTTTATGACCACCATGTACCCATCTTCTGATGGCTACTTCCAGCAGGATAATGCACCATGTCACAAAGCTCAAACCATCTCAAACTGGCTTCTTGAACATGACAATGAGTTCACTGTACTCCAATCCAGATCTCAATCCAACAGAGCACCTTTGGGATGTGGTGGAACAGGAGATTGGCATCATGGATGTGGAGCCAACAAATCTGCAGCAACTGTGTGATGCTATCACGTCAATATGGACCAAAGTCTCTGAGGAATGTTTCCAACACCTTGTTGAAAGTATTCCACTAAGAATTAAGGCAGATCTGAAGGCAAAAGGGGGTCCAACGCAGTACGAGCACGGTGTACCTAATAAATATAAAGTAGAATCATGTTTTTTTTGAAAGATTGAAAATGTGGTTGTATTTGGATCAAACAGGTGTACCTAAAGAAGTGGTCAGTGATTTCTAATATTCATTTAGCACATGTAGGCCGTAAATTGTGTGCAAATGTAATAACATTCCATCCTGTCACTCTAAACAGGCGCTGCACCGCCTTCCCACAGAGACAAATCTGGTTTTAAGTACTCACCCCACAGTCCCCCTCCACTGATCCATTGACCATCATTCTGCCACAGTACAGGCCTGGACAGGTTGAGCTCATGGCCACAGCTGCAAGAGTAACAGCTGGTAAACATTCTGACAGCACAATCACTTTGTTACAGGTTTGAACCATAAAAACTCTAAGTTGCTCCAAGTTCCACATGACCTAACATAAGGCATTTCCATGAGGAAGCTGAGCTGAACAATTAAGTTACTAACTGAACGTTAACGTTAGCGGGTAAGTTAAGCTATGCGGATCAAAATACTTTCTGGTAACTCATTTGTAGCCAACTGTTACTGACTGATATTTTCAAGCTCCTATCCTCCATCGCTTCCATGCATTCTGTGTTTCAGGAGGTGGGTTTATTGTTGACCTGTCAGAATCAGCATTATGTCACACAACTGTCTCCGGTACAGCAAACTAACTGGTCGCCGTACGCGTGCGCGTGTTGTGCGCAGCAGCTGCGGACTGAATCCATCCCCAGATTCGTCACACATTTACAAACATGTTCCCGGCGAGTTTCAAGTCGCATCTTAAATCTACTGCGGCGATCATGATTGAATAAGTGAGCACTACATTATCTAGCCACACACGAAAAAAAAAATGGAAGAAAATAGACTTTTTACAAAATCGCGTCAAGCTGGATTCGAAGTCACCTGAGCAAAAAGTAACATCTGGTCCCAGATCTTCACGTTACCTGCGAGCTGATCCAGCAATCACAGATGACTGTCTTCCAGTCACGTATTGATTAAGCACGTCATCATCCAGGTAACACTTTGTTTGGGCTGCTCTACAACAGCTGGTTACTTTGAGCGATCTTAAAAATACCACAACATGTTTATCAAGGTGTTTTTCTCGTGGCAATATTGACCCCCTACACGCTATGACACGGGAATGCTTTTAAACAGTGACTTTCTTACTCCGACAATACTGTGAAAACATGAATTTATTAAAACACCGAGCCACATGAGGAGCAGAAGTGGAAATATTCTGCCCACAACACAGTTACGCGCACGGGGACCAGTTAGTTTGAAAGCCAGCAGGGCTCCAACACCGGGAAGCGTCGGTCTCTCGGTCCTTCAATCAGCTCTCCGGTGGGTAACGTAGCTACTTCATTTAGATAAGGCAATATTTCAAACTAAGATCTTTCTGGAAAGAAGGATGACGTTGACGTTAGCGAGAGACCATCACAAGCCAGTGTCCAAGAGACTGGTCGCAGTTTGAAACATCTGCTGAAACATCTGGGCTGGCATAACGTTACGTTAGCCGGTGCAGCTAACGTTAGCTCACAGCAAGCTACGCGGTGCTCAATCTAACGTAACAAGCTAACAAATCAGATGCAACGCAACGTTAACTTACCCATTGTAGGCTTTGTAACGGTTAAAAGGGTTTTCACGCCTCAGTGCTACCGTGTTTTCATTTGATACCAATCCGGATGAGTAAGACGCGGAACGACTGCTAAGGGTCCAACTGCAGCCTACAGACAAACGTGACGGAAGTTGACTTCTTCTTCTGGCTTTCCGGCACACTAGATGCCTCGCGGCCGGTATATCGCTGCCTCTCACAGTTCAGTCTCAGTATCATTTATGGCATCACCATTCTCAGAGGGGTAATCTAGTGATGGCAAGTTCGAATCTTTTGACAGACTCGCTCATTCAAATCTCGTTCATTAAAATGAACTAATCTTTTTTTTAGTCATTTGGTTCATTTGAACTAGGCTGGTTATTGTGGCGCTGCCGCCCTCTAGTGGGCGATTAAAAAACCGCGCTGTTCTCAAACACAGAAGGCTGCCTGGCTTGCTTTATTTGACAAAGTATAATGCACAAATTCACCTCTTGATTACTGTATATCATTATTATATAAACCCCCCTGGGCCCACAACCAAATTCAAACCATGTAAAAACCACAGAAATATGTTGTCAATATGTAATCACCACTACTCCGGCTAAATCCTTCCATTTTCACAATCTTTCCGAGTTTACAATCAGACCAGCCATATAAAGGCTTATGTATATAATTACTATCATTATCTCTAAAGTGCTCATTCATACAGTAGCCTAACGTCCCTATCCATGAGTAAAATATTACTATCAGATTTGCAGTAAATTGAAGTAATAAGCTTGATACACTATATGAATAAACACACTCTTATTAAAATTCAACCAATTTAATAATAATCTGGATCAAGCCACCAAGTTCTTAAAGAACTCCAGCACAGAGAGAGGAACAGAGAAATAAACACATAAATGGGCCACCTCAAGTCTGCAGACAGAGAAACACACATGAGCACAAACACGGCAGCTTGTTCACCAGTCAGGAGCTGTGAAACCACAGCACGGCTCTGTTGGTAAATAGAAAGGAAAAGTTACGTTGCGTTCTCTGGCGGACCGGATCAGCTGTTAGCTGTTTACAGGGCTAACGCTAACGTTGCTACGTGGCTGTGTTTGAATGTTTTAATGACAGGGTCTCTGCAATGGACCGGCGACCTGTCCAGGGTGTACCCCGCCTTTCATCACTGCGCTGTTGTTGTAAGCATTTTAATGACAACAAGTGACTGAATGAGTCATCCTCAAAAGACAGAAGATGTTGAATATTATACTTCCTAATGTTTTGGCATTTTTTACATTTTGTGCAGAGAAGATGACATAGAGATTCTTCAGTGTAACCTGCTACCTAGCAACATTTTTCTTCATCAATTTACATGCTTTATTGTGCCTTTTAGGTTATTGTTTACCATTTACAATGTGTGCATCCCAGAGCCCTTAAAGAGAGTTACGACACTCCTGGATCTAGTAGCCACGCGGTCACGTGGTTCATGTAGCTCTCCATAGTTCCAAACAAATCAGAGCTTTTAACCAGTTTGAATGGTTTTAGGCGGGACAGACAGCAGCAGCTATATTTGCAGCAATTATCGGTAAATATTAATGCAATAGGACATTGATTAAAGAGTTGACACGCATATACATCTAACATTTTTTCTTTAATCAGTTTTTTGTTTAAATTTGGAGGGAAAAGGGGCCGTTCCCGAAACGTAGTACACATTTACAGCAGCGATTAAGTATTATGTAATATGTGCTGCAATTTTCTGTAAATATTAACGCATAATGATTACTGATGATTAAGTTGACTACACTTACAGTAGTGTGTTCTGGGAAGTGATGGAGACACAGCATTAACAGTGTGGTCTGTTGAACTGTAATGATTACTGAGAGATGGTGGCGGCGCAATGGCTAAGACGCATGCCTTTGGTGTGGGAGACCTGGGTCAATCCCCTACTGTGACCCTGACATGTACAGCAATTGTAAGTTGCTTGTCAGCTAAATGAGTAAATGTAATGAGTTCAATTTTCAATTCAGTTTTATTTATATAGCGCCAAATCACAACAACAGTTATCTCTGAGCGCTTTTCATAGCCCAACAATTCCCACCAAGAGCAAGCACTAGGCGACAGAGGCAAGGAAAAGACAGTTAAGGTGAGGTTTCTATAGACTAAATGAAAAATGGTACAGATATTTATAGTAGCGTTAATGGTAACAATCGTAATGTTAATGATTATAATAACAATAATAACAATAGGACTAGCAACAATAGTCGTTGCAGCAGAGGGTGCCGAGCAGGAACACAAGGGCAGCAGGTGACCCGCAACCACAGATCCAGACTCCACAGCTCCAGAGCCAGAAAACCTGCAGGAAGTGATAGGAGGAGAGAGGAGAGGGACGAGAAAGCACAAGACTACCAGAAAGGGGAGAAGTTGTGTTAGTAACATGCAATAATAGGATGAGGTTGCATACAGAGGGAGAGAAAGTAGAGGAGAGAGGAGCTCAGTGCATCATGGGAAATCCCCCGGCAGTCTAGGCCTATAGCAGCATAACTAAGGGATGGTTGAGGACTCACCTGAGCCAGCCCTAACTATAAGCTTTATCAAAGAGGAAAGTCTTAAGCCTACTCTTAAATGTGGAGATGGTGTCTGCCTCCTGAACCCAAACTGGAACCTGGTTCCACAGGAGAGGAGCTTGATAGCTGAACGGGAAGCCAGAGCGGCTCCCATTCTACAGTTATATTTAGTGATTGAACTATGTACCTAAATACGATCCATAACATTACTGTTAACTGGGGATTCATTTCCCCAAACATAGACAAAACTTCCATCAGAACACACACAAATACATGCATATTATGTACACACACAGTATGTTGTATACATTTTACAAAGGTTACAACATGTGTGTATACATATCGACTCATCAGTCCAGAGCACCTGCTGCCATTTTTCTGCTGTGCTCAGTCTTGCCATGGTGTGTGAGTTTTGACAGCAACCTCACCTTGTTAGCGGAGTTTGGCTAATCCTCATCCAGTTCTATTCCTCCTAAACAGCTGTTTCTGTTTCACTTAATGATTCTATCAACCTACGTACTGAATTTATGATCATTAGCACCTGTTTGGTGTATTTGTTTAATCATACTCCTGACAATATGCATACAAACTATTTTGATTTGATTTTTATTTTTTCTTCTGTTAATTCACTTTGTATTTTGTTTATTTATAACGAATCCATTAACATGTCAAGCATTCTTTACAGCATTTTTCCACACCTGCCTAAAACATTTGCACAGAACTGTGTGTATAAATGTACTGTACACACACATACATGTTGTGTTAATTTTCATATTACTGTATATTGTATTGACAAACTGTATTTTGATGCTTTGAAAACACTGTTCTTGAAACCTCCATGCCAATAAAGCCCTTTGAATTGAATTCGATTTTTTTTTTTTTGTGTTTAATTTCGGAGGGAAGGGGGATTGCTTCCATAAGATTTAATACATTTTTAGTATGTATGTGTTTTCCTCATGCTTCTATAGTCATACTTACTATCATCCAACTGTTATGTTAAGAAACATTAACATAAACATGCACAACAAGAGAATATCAATGAATGCCAGAAGCTGCTCAGTTTGAGTCAACAAAGATGTTTGTTCAATAGTGCAAAATATACAATGCAACCAATTGCAATCTTTCTGAAAGAGACAGATTAAATACACATAGAATGCTAATTTTCCCCAAACATTTTCATGAGGTCGAGATTACAGATGGATGGCTTCCCAAAAGATAAGGAAAGGAGAAAAAATGGTTAGCCCAAGTCAGCAGAAGCAACCTGACCATCACTAGAGATTACAACAACAGTAAACTGTGTTCGGTAAGTTATGTTTACACTACACATATGGATATTTCACTTGTGGATCAAGACTGTGACAATTATATGGTAATATCTGGAATGTGTGTAGAAAATAACCTCATAAGCAACTCTGCGGGCATATTTTGAGGGAGAGCAATTTTCAAGAACAAAAAAAGGCAACGTGATATTGAGGGCTGATGCTGCTCCAACCATATTTGTGCAGCGTCCTGAGCACAAGAGAAGGAAGAGTCCTGTTGTGAGAAGAACCACATAACCTCCAGCCCAAGTTCAGGCAGTGCCCAGTAAGCACACATACAGCCTTAAAATGAACTTTGGTATGAATAATACAGAAGCCCTCTCGAGAAATCTTCTTGAGATAACGGGATCAGTAACTTGAGATCTGTTTCTGGACAGAGCTGTTTCTGGAGTTCGCCATGTCATGTTGACTGAATGGATGCCCTGAGCACTAATGTAGGTAAGCCTCTTTCTACTTTATTCCAAAGTTTTTGGATGAGTTAATGAATGAATGAAAGAATTCATGTTTGTCCTTACAACAGCTTGAGCTCATTTTATAGCTTGCTAACATGACATGTGAGGTCATTAATTTAAGTTTTAATAATTAATAATACTGACACACAATAAAACTTGCTAGCCAACGCTGTCTACACTTTTCTGTTCATCATACAACCTTCTGCTGTACAGGTTGTATAATGATAAACAAACTACGTTGTATTTCAAAGTCGAATGCGCGTGTACATAAATTTTACGGTAGAGACAAGGACTTCATGGTGCATTGGAGTGCACCTTGTACAACAACTCATAGCCTACATCTAATATTGGACTGACCACTGGGGTTGTTTAAAACAGCAAAAAAAAATCTTATTTCCTTTTGAAATACATATAACTAAGGAAATTAAGATTTTTAAACAACCTCAGTGCCCATTCGCGTTGATTTCTGAGTTTATGAGGTACACTTTTATGCAACATGAAGTCCCTTTTGGTGGATACACTCTTTACTGTAAAAAGTAATGTGTACCCGTAATAGATTTTGACGTGTAGCTTGTGTGACTTTGCCTCTCTGTAGGGCAGATGACGAGAAGGCAGTGTCAAGGGATTTCAAGGGGTGTTGTTGTGTACACCTAACTTTAATAACGTAACTTAATGTTATGTTAGCTAGCTAGCTAGCTATACACCCTCATTTAGTTAACTTAACACTATGTTAGTTGGTAAGAAAATAAGCACCATGAAAAGTACAGTATCTGTTTTTTTCTGAGCCTCCTAGCACTAACACTTTCATTCATTCAGCTGCACCAAAATGGAGGATTCCTTCCTTGTTGCCTT